CTCAGAAGCAGTAAAGTTCGCGAAAATTTGCAGCATTTTTTAATAATTTTACAATAGGTTAGAATGCTGTGAATGTGAAAACCCTGAAGTGTAGTCAAATTTCGCGACATTCCCAGCGAATGATTCTGAAGGTTGCCACAAGAAGAAACGCTTCGCAACCTGGAACGATAGGCACGGAAGAGAATCGCTTCCACACAACCCAAAACGGGGGGGGGGGGGGGTCCAAATCAGAACCCAGAATTGCAACCTCGGAACTTCATCGAAACACAAAAAGAAGGAATAAAAGAAAATAAAAATAAAAAAAGGCATCATAGCCCCTTCAACCTGGAGCTGCAGAGAATATCGAGATAAGGATGAATGCTCATCACGTTCTCAGGCTCCCAGGGCTTTGTCTGCAGAGTTGGACTTCGTGGTCGATGCTTCCCCATCAAAAAGCACGTGTTCCCCACGCTTGTCCTCATCTCCACGTCGCCAACCTCGTCGACGGGCAGCTCTGTGTTCCCCATGTTCCCGTGCGTTCCCGAAGGAGGTGTCGCGCGGATGCGGAAGGCAAAGCAGCTGCAACACACAAAATAGCTTCCAGGGATCGAGATCGTCGAGAGTTTCTTTGAGTCCTGTGGCATCATCCTCGCCCTTGCTAGAATCTAAAGCTACACACTGCCCCTTACGCGTTGCATTGCAATTGGCTTTGCTCGTAGGTGAGTTCTTCGTAGCGGGTAAGTCATAGCGGAAGCCGTAGCTGCGACACGAGCTCTCTCTCTCTCACTTTCATTGCGCTCAACCAATCTTCCATGCGGACAGGTACCAACTAAGATGCCGCTGGCTTGATGCCGCTCCCTTTTCCCATCGCAGCCTTTTTTGATTCCTTCGCATTCTCTGGGCAGGTCTACCGTTCTCGGAGATGCGCGACCAATCGCGGCGTTTATATTGACGCTGTGGAGATAATGCAAATGCGGTGGAGTCACTAGAACCCGATGACGAATAATTCGTTTCAACCCGGTGGAATGTGCTGAAGGTTGATTGTGAATTCAGGAGTGATTGCAGTTATTCCTAACGCTGCGGAAAATTCAACATATGCCTGGGTGTCATATGCGATCGTTTGTCCTGTGTGAGTGGTTAAAATCAAAATTATTTGGAAATTCATGTGTCATGGTCAGAATATGGAAAGAAATTCAGGTTGATTCTGAGAAGGTCCTTTAGTAATATGCATGAGTCTAGGTAACTTAGAATTCAATAAATGCACTAACTTTGGAACTTTTGGGTTCGGATTCATGCTCCAAGACCCAATTCAGCAATCGTAATGAGTACGTTTTTTACGTGGTTGCTCTCCCACCAATGGCGGGTTCTTTCGTCCATCGATCATGGTTCGCGAAGGTTGCTACGATTGGAGCTACCTTCTGACATGGAAATCCATTTCTGAAATTTGTGTTGGAATCTAATCATCGAGTGCAAGAGTAAATACAGCAACAAGAGCTGGGGATGCTCTACTGCTTCCTGCGTGATGCGCACAGTGGTGACACACAACCTCATTATAAAAATCATAAGCCTACTATATACGCTGTTACTTTGAGAAATACCGGCCCGGAAGAATGTGCACAACGGTAGGCTGCCATTGCGGGTCCAAAATCCACACAAGAAAACATTTTGAATAAAAAAAGAAAGCCATTACATTAGCGTTTTGAAATGAAGAGGAGGTTTCGGGGAGGGAGGGGGACACGAGACAGCGACGCAGGAAACACACAATCCTCTTTTTATAGCGAGTCAAGTAATTTCTGCGATTTATATTTGGTCACGCTTCTGGCTGCTTTCAGTCCAATATCATCGCATCAGTCTCTCTCTCCGGCCCACCAACTGGACAATTTTCATGCTCCATTGAGCAGAGCAGAATTTTTACCCTTCGCAGGAACCTGATGCCCATGTCGCAAATCCTTCCAACTCCAGGTCCTAAATTACTCTCGTCCTAATTCCGGCCACGCAATGATTCTCCAGTTAACCAATTTGCCATGCAAGATTTTCTCCCACCCCCCAATTTAGCAGCTCATTTCTCAAAGCCAGGAAAATTAATAAACAAAAGTCCCTGCTTTCGAAGTCGTTTGACGACCTGGACCACCGCGTGTGCCGCTTCAAGGAATGGACCTCGCGAGCATTGTCCGGACGACAAGCAAGCGTCGACAATTACTCGAAGGCTGGAAGGGAAACACAGCATCTAGAGGAAATCCAGAAGCATGTGCGGAAGGGTATTTCGTATTCTTGCGCTTCGTTGCTTCACCACGGAACCTATACCCGAGAATGAAAATTCCAACGCTGTCACTTGGATTTCGACTTGGTAATTCTTTGCGCCTGGTGCTGGTATTGTTCAACAAATCTGCAACGCAGGTCGTGCAATTCGAGCAGAGGTCTGGGCGATGACTGGCACAGCGACGGGGATCACAGTATTTTATACGCGGTCATGTGAGGCAGGCGAGTGCTGGACCACGAGCCCGGTGTCAAGCCATGCCACGGTGAAGGGCCATCCTTATCTCTTTTTCCTCAACATGCAATCCAATGCAAGCTTTGTGGATGTGCTAACTGTTGCTGTTGCTGTCATAATCATGCTTCAAATTACATTAGTATGAGCTATTTTGGTGGCATTTATTTATTGAAAATATATATTGTATGAAATATTTAAAGCATTCTAGTGATCATCAATTATCTCATAATTTACAATCCCTATTACAACCATGTGATTTATGGCATGAATCTTGTTAGAATTAAACATTGGGTGGATACTGAAATTAGATTACTTTAATTTTTGCACAAGAAGTTGTTTGAAATAGATCATAAGTTTTTCACAGGATTTGTGTGTCAAATTTTTAGGAGGGTTTACTTAATGCAATCAAGTGAATACTATGTATGCAATTCAAAAGTACTTGGATAGTTTAAAACACCAACAATTGCTAAATAAGTAAGATCCAAATACATGTATTTTTTTTAAAAAAAAAATCCAACAGTAATTATATCAAATATACAATTGAGGTATGGAGAGTAATGAAAAGTTAATAAAGAATGATGGCTAAGTTTAATTCGAACTATGCATTATACTAGATTGTCGTACAAAGAAATACACAAAATAAGAAGAATAAAAAATTGTATTTCTTCTTCACTCTTGTCAATGCCTTTCTAGTCCTTAGTCTTGTTTCAAGACTTTCTAGTCTTGTTGTCTTTGGCAATAGCCATTCTAGTTTAATATTATACCATCTTTGAATGATTATTCAATCTTTTCAAGTGTCACTAGATTGTATTGATTTTTCAATTCTTTGAGATTCATGTCCTTGACAATATTTTATTTTTGCAATATTTTAGAAGCTTTACAAAATGCTTCAAACTTCAAAGCCTAATTTTCTATATATTGAACTATTATAATATCTATGAAAATAATATATCTCAAGTTGTGTTTTGTAAAGTTAAAATAATTCAATTATTTAGGTGAATTCAACTCAATTATAACTTTTATACTTCATAACTTCTAAATAAAGATGATGATAAAAAATTATAGTGAGACATGTTTAAACAAATCACCATCTATTTCAAACATTAATATTATTAAATGATTTTTAAACACACCAATAAAATTAAAACTATAGGTAAAAAAAATATCCACTTTAATTTTGAATTATTCATTTCATAAATGTTTTATAATTATATATTGGCATAGCTATTTTAATATCTAAATTTTCTTCAAAATACATATATATATATATATATATATATATTGTATTGTATTTGCAATCAATTATCTAGTAATATATTTAATATTATTTTTTGCTACTAAAGTAAACATTTAATGTTTACTTTAATGATAAAATGTTAAAACCATCTAAGAGTGATATTCTAACTTAATTTAATTATAGATGTTATCATATATATTCTTAATATAATATGTGATAAAGTCCAAAAGTTGATTTTCACTATACAGTGTAATATCAACTAGAATTATAACATTAAAAATGTAATAATCCTAATCATGTATAGTATATCAATGATTGATACACTATTAGTAACTAAATATGTACAGACATGCACAAACATCAAAAAGAAAAGAAAGAGGGGAAGAATAAAGCTTTTGGCACAATATGCAAAAGAATTGATTAAACCTACAATGTCCTCTATATATATATATACATATACATGTATATATATTAGCAAGGTCTTGTGCTGTTGGGCATATAAATATTGTGAAATGATGTGATATGTAGATAATGAACGAGAGGTCTTTCTACATGTTATGCATGGCTTTTTGTTGAATAATAATTTCTTTGATTTTGGCCAATGAGAAGGCTTCTTGTTCTCTGTATCTTATACCCAAGCTATTATATAATAGATACTCATATATGCATATGCCTAATATGATATGTATCATATCAACAATAACTTTAGAAATGTTATGTAAATTTTAGGAAGATACTCAATGAAGTTTTGTACAAATATGAATGTTGCAATTTTTTTGTACAATCACATGTGTCAGCTTTTCAACCAGTCATTGTGCATTCTCTAACAATAAGAATACCTACAATTTCATAATAATATTAAAACAGTTCCGCTTATCAAATATTCAACCATGTTTTTATATTCACTTAACCACATACTTTTCGTTACTTTTAACAGCTCGTTTTACGAGTTCGAGAAAGTCAACAAATGGTAGTAATATCAGCGCCTGGGGGAGAGGCAGTGACACGGACTTACCCCCTCACTCGCGGAAATAATACACCCCCGCAGGAAGCCCAACACGGGCTTACCTCCCTGGCGGAAATAGAGCCCGGGGGGGGGGGGGGACAGCAACCGTGGCCGACAATTACATCCACGAGTTTCGAGATCCTGCGGATGCAACGATGCGAGTGCGCTGCAGGCAAAACCATCGAATGCGCGCATCTTTGCAGCATCTACCCGTCGGACCTCCGTAAAAGCGAAAGAGCCGCTTTCGGTCCCCACCATCATAACCAGCCATCGCCAACAGATCATCAAGTTACCACACTCGCATCGAATTTCTGCAGCTCCCCAGTGGTCCCTGTTACTACAAATACCCCCCGCATCCTCCCCTGTCCTCTTCCGTTTCTCTCACAATTTCAGTGTCGAGCACGACCTCTGGTTCCTTAAGCAGCGACGGTATTTGTGTGTGTGTTTGTCTAGTTAGGTTGAGTGCGTAGCTGGTAGTCGATGGTGTGAGTTTCTGAGAGGGGAGTGAGTGGGTTTGTGCTGGAGTTTCAGCGATGGAGAATATGGACATGTTGGTGAGGGGGGTCGTGATGCCGGGCTCAGGAATGGGGCTGGGCTCGATCGGCTTCCAGGGGTTGGAGTGGGCGTGGGTCGCGATTGTGGCGACCATTGTGGTTATGTTTGTCTCCGCGAAGAGGGTAAGCATTGTGAGCGTCGGGTGGACGTGGGGGGCCAAGCCTGGTCAAGTGCGCGTACGCGTGCACTCATTCTCCTCCATGTCCGATGGCAGCATTGTCGCCGCCAGCGGAATGTTTAGTGCCGGGATTGTGAACTGCTCCGGGGATTCCTGCAGTGAAGACGCGTCGAGCTCTTCCGACTGTGCGTCGGAGGCCGCCAGCAAGGTTGCAGCGGAAATGGTATTCATCTTCGAGAAGAAGACCCCGCCGAACCTGTTGCTGGCCAAGAAAGATGTACTCGCTGCTCGCGACTACTCTGACAAGGTATTTTCCTCTCGTCAGCACTGGATTCCTGTGGTCTCTTCAGTGTTCTAAGCACTTCGTTCATCAAGTGAAACTGTATTAGCTATCGTACCAATGGCTCCACGTAATACATGCTTATTTATCAATTGTGTGCCATCTCAATGTGTGGCACACGAAATCCAGCACGACTAAGGAATTCAGTGTGTTTCTGACACAGAAACGTTGAATTAACGTAATTTTCCCCCTCTTATCAGGGTGATTACTCATTACTCTCATCTTCAATTTGTCTGCGGGCACAGTTTCTCTGCTTATTTTCTCGTCTTCTCTCTTCCCACCCTTTGTCTTGACCACAAAACAATCAATTGCATTTCTACCTCTAAATGCGGGAGATTTGATTAGTATTGTGTACTGAGCTCGTGCTTTTTTATGTGTCCAGATCTTTGTTAGACGATCGAACTGGGAGGACTTTCGAATACTCGAAGACTTACCCTTTTTAGTCCTTCCTCATTGCATTGCACGTGATGCATCCGTCGTGAAGCGCACGGGAATTCAGTGGGGTACATTGCCCGCTGCTTCCCAGTCTTCCATTGTCATCGCCTTCTTACCCTCGTGGGCGCAGTCTCTCACAGAAGCCCTAGCCCTCTTAGCTCCTCCATCACCATCGTGTATAGTTCCCTGCGCCTCTTCTTTCAAATGGGATCCTCTGTTGAAGCTCAGAATGCGCGATACTGTCGTCTGCGACAATCACCACATCAACCACACGAGAGTACCGATTGCCCCCGTTGCAATGAACGGCGCCGGCATGGTAACCTTCAAGAATAATATTGTCAGATTATGGGACAATGACACGAGATTGATGATAAAGGGTCTGCATCTCCCGATGACTCACGCCGGCGCGGCTACTGCTTTTGATGCGAACTGGGAGCGGAAGGTTGCTGCTGTCGGAGATTTCGGAGGACTGGTGTCTATTGCAAATCTCGAGTCCGCAGCATTGGAGACCACCTACGACACTCTTCATCCTGTGGTGCAGTCTGTCCACTTGGACAGAAGCTCGTTGTCGAAAACTTTGTTCACAGGTTAGTTCCTGAGCATGGTCACCTTTCCCTCGAAACCTGCAGTTTGCAACCATTATACTTGAATCAACTCGTTATCATCATTAATAAGTTCGTGCGATACGTGTTTCAGGTGGACCAGCAATTACCAATCCAGGGTGTACCGTCTCACTCTGGGACAGTAGGTCAAGCAACAGACAATATTCAGTCAATTTGAGTTCTGCAAGCTACATTTATGGTATCTGCGCTCAGGGTTATGAGCTCTTTGTGCGAGACAGCGTCGCCTCGCTCGCTGCCTTCGATTTGCGAATGCTGAGTTCTTCGTGTTTGAGAACAGTTCCATGTGATGTGAGCTTTGAAAGTGCACCGAAAGATAAGTGGTGGGACATCGACACACCTCTCGAGGTTGAGGATGGTGACATTGATGCTGAATTCTGGGATTGCCAGTCTGCAGACAAGTCTGTGAAGGGCGCCAAAGACTCTTACGTGGGCAGCTTTGTGAAGGTCATGAGCCGCAACTTCTCCATGAAATCTACATCCAAGTAAAAGCCACACGGCAGCAAGCCAACCTCGTCGGCCTCGCTCGACGAGGATTCTACAGTGAATTCCGGCGGCCAATGACATTCACCTGCGTCCGCATTCATTCATGACGGGTATCAGTGCGAGATAGGTCCCAGAACCTGACGTTATTGGCAGCCATGGGTTGCGATGTGAAGATTTTACTTCTCGCCACCTGATTGCAGCGTTCGCTTGGACTTATGCACCTCGTACAGCTGGAGGCTGTGACATGCTGCGGCATCCCAACTGGAGATCGCCTGTACTTATTTTGTAAAGATGGTTATTTGATAGCATGTACTCTCCAGTCCAGTTGGGAAAGTGCTGGGATGGAAGCTGTGGTGTGAACTCGCGCCAGTTCAGCTTATTCTTCTTCTGACGTATACTTTTGCAGGCCCATGTCCCGTGGTGGCCTTTAGATGCGAGCCTGAGTTGCTAGCGATGGTGGGACGTTTGGAGCTTGGCTCTGACCGAGCAAACGATATGGTAGGAAGTGTGTGTGTGTGGGGGGGGGGGGGGGGGGGTTGCACATTTGACCGTGACTCTTAATTTTCTTTTTCGGTTGGAAGCCTTTGCTTTCCATGCTCTGTGCCGGAGAAAGAGGACCAATTGTACAGAAAAAAACTATCATGGATTTACGAACTTATCCTTCTCTTCACTTCCTGTGCTATCGCCCTGAATGCTTTCGTGTGGAGCTTCAAGGTCAGAGGCTGAACGTGTAGAATAGCTGAATCGCCACGGCCTAAAGCTTGAGCTCCTTAACCTCTTAAATGAACCCCCAATATCCACTACGCTTTGCAAGAAATTACAATTGTGAAACACAGTTGTCTAGATTCCTGTGCATCTCAAATCACCAATCGAGTTGCACGAGCCTCTGATTGGTGTTGCTTTTCCAGCATGCAACCCTTGGACATAATAGTACAACAAATCTTCTGGGCAAAAGGGCTTGTGACTTTAACAACTTTCATGCGCAAAATTGGGTCCCTCTCAGCATACATATACATTTATGGACTCTTTTACTGTACATTACAACTGCACATCTTGGAGGTGAAGGTTTGCAGTCGGTGTGAGATGGGGATTCACCAATCGAAGTCTATAGCTTCTCAGTTTCACTTGTACTGAGCCTTTCGAACACGTTTTCGTTGGAGTTTTAGGGTGCGCAGCGAGTCTGTTTGAGTAATCACCAAGCCTTCGTAGCACATCCAATGTCAGGCCACATCGCTAGGATCATGGAACCAACCGCAGAGGAAAGCCAGGCTCGTGGTGACCTCTGTGAGAGGTTTAGGCAGATTTGGACAGGCTGGAATGGAGTCATGACCATTTCTTTTTATTTCCTTTTTTTGGCTGGTAACCGAATGCAAAGCGGGCAAGCCACAAAATGCTTGAAGCAGGAATTCTAAATTCTACAGGGCCCTTCTAATGACTCACTAAAGCTATCTGGACTGCAAACATATCTAGAATAGAAACAAATGGGCACGGAGGATATGTTTGGCTGTGTTGATGGTTGTCCACAGAATTATTGCAATATTCAACTCTCAATCGATGGAGATGCCTTTCAAATATACAAACAAATGGATGTTACCGTCCCGTTACTGTCAATAGGGTTAAAACGTTAAACGATAACGTAATGAATGGTGATGATATCCTCTAAATCAAACTTTCTTCCCGCACCCAAAGTGATAATGATAAAATTTAAAATAGCGACTAACTGTAACATGTTATGCTTGCATTAATATGATTTTGAAGATATATCACATTGCATACTGATATTTCTTTCTATGTAGTATCCTTGTAAAGATCTTGTTTCTAACCCACAAGAGACTGCTAATACTTTTATTGATTCCTTGATTTTGTTAAAAGACACCGGTAATGATAGGCTTGTGCCACATAATGAAGTACATTTGACAAGAATGCTAGCCATCAATATTATTTATTTGGTCTTAAATAGCCCTCCTATTGCTACATTTCATATGTGATAGCGCTTAGAGAGAAAAAATGTCCTATAATATCAGACCATTCAAATATATGAAAATAATAATACCAATAATTGTGCTCTTCTTTGGCTCCATCCAAATGAATCCAAACCTCACATTCAAAAGATTCTTAAAAAGTCTGTGGGAAGGTGACCCTGAGGTTGAAGGAAATCTAAGAGTTGTAACTGAACAAGTTTCATTTTATGTCTTTAATTTATTAGTTTTAATAACAATTTATAAACAGTGACAAAGAAAGTGTTTCAAACTTTACAGACAATAATGCATGTTGTGTATATTGTGCCACTGGCAAGTGAGAAGTACAAGTTCTGCTTGTTGGTTAAAACAATGTCTATGAGGACTTACTATTTTCTCTGTAATAATCCACCACCACACAATAATGCATGTTAGTTTGCTGGTTTTGGGTTGTCATGGTCAAGGAAAGCATGGATTTTTGTGAGAATCTATTCACTGCTGGGTACAGTTCTCAGCTAGGATTAGCAAAACAAATTAGGGTTTCTTGCTGGCCATGGATGAAGCTTGTTGCATATGCAAAGTTGAAGGAAGAGCTTCTGTCGTAGCTTCAGCTTCATGCTCCTTCTTGGAATCTGCAGGATTCTTTCTTTTTCACTCTCCCTAGCACAACTTTTGTATGTTCATTGTTGTTCCATGTGCTGGTCCTTGAGCAGCATTTTAGACATTAGTTTTGCCAAAAGTATGTCAAATTAGGGTTCAACCTTGAAATCAGAGCTTAGCAGGATGCTGTGGCATGAGAAAAAGTCCACCTGAAGCTCATTTATTCAGGTGAGCTGGTTAACAGAGCTGACTAAGGAGAGGCTTGAACCCAGTTGCATGAAACTCCTAAAGTCTGTTTCATGCTGAGGCATAAGGTGGCATCACCAACTCCATTACTATGTGGGGGCAGACTGGCAGAGATTCAGACTGATGATTAGATAATTGATGTCCCATCTGTTACATTGTCTTGTGCCAGTTCACTTACTATTCACATGAGGCTTTTTTTTTTTTTTTTTTTTTTTTTTCTTCTTCTCTTCTTCTATTGATCTGTGTCAACTCTCCTATTGAAGCCTTGTCCATTTGAAGGTGTGGCATGCTGAGTCTTTAAGAACACAGCCTGTGGTAGATACCTCCCAGCATGAGCAAGGATTATGTGTTCCTCAGGTAAAGCTCATTTAGCAACTTTTGAAGAACATTGAGCCTTCATATGAAAATTTTCACTCTAGCTTTGACATGGCTTGGAGGAACCTAAATTAGTTATCTTCTCATGTCTTTTAAGTTTGGCATGTGTGTAATGCAAACCTCTTTGCCCTTGCCTGCTGCCCTAAGACCACAATTGCCTTTATTAACCAAGGAGGGAGGAGGGGGGGAGGGGAGAGAGATTCTTTATTTGGATACATATTTTAAATGCACAAAAAATAAAGAAAAAGAAAAGAAGAAGCATGAGCTGGAGACAATGATGATGAAATGCAACATGATAGTTGAAGTCTAAAGTTTCTTTGGGCACCACATTGGTTCCATTTTATTTTTCCAAAGTGTGCTTTTTCCACATTAAAACAAAGTAATCCCATTGGTATGAGAGGGGCTAATAAGCCAAGCACAGAAGTCATTTTTTTTTTTTTTTTTTTTTTTTTTTGTAAATATCTACTATGGACGTTCATCCATAACACATCATCTCTAGTCACTAGTCTAATGATTATTTATCTCTAGATTGATGCAAACAACAATGTAATTTAAAAGAGGAGTTTACCACCACTTTTCATCCAAACAACTCTCTTTCAAACATGAATATCATCCACAATTCATATTATCATCTTCGTGTGAGGCATTAAATTGACTCATTAATTGTTTTAGAACAAAAAGATGCATTAAGAATGTCAAATTGTAATTATTAGATGAATGGTTAGTTTAAAGGATTTTAGATGAAGAAAAATTAGTATTAATATAAAAATTACTAATTATAGTAACCTAGATAATATATAAGTTCTAAATGCTTAAAATTAAATTCCTTTTCATAAAAAAAGATTAAATTTGTATTAATTTTTAGTTCTTAGTTATTTTATTTATTTCTATTATTATTATTATTATTATTATTTCTTCTTCCTTCTTTTATTGAATAGATTCAAGATTGTATTCTAAGATTTAAGCTTGAATACAAAGATCATGGACTTCAAGAGATTATTATTCTACAAATCTTTGAAGATTCAAGTAATTTTAAGAAGTGAAGAGAATGCTAAAAGTCAATGCTCTTCTTTAAATACAAGCTTGTATTAAAAAAATTAGGTAGCCAAGATCTCTCTCTCTCTCTCTCTCTCTCTCTCTCTCTTATTAATGGATGAAGCTATGCCAATTTTTTCCTAGGTTTTGTAAGCATTTGGTTATTTTAGTTTATTATTTATTTTTTTGGAATAAAATTTTAAAATTTTAAATAGTAGTAGTAATTCTTTTGGAAAATTTTTAGATATAAAAATCTTAGAATTTGGAGTTTTTATAAAGAAGAGACATCTAATTTAGTAAAAGATGGTATTCTACCTTCATAATTTGGTAGTTCTATTTCGGAAGGCTCTTCCTCATTGTTCATAAGTTATAAAGCTACAAGAATTATTTTACTAAAAAATTGATGAAGTATGGATTTCAAAAAGCTAAGATTCAATTATATTAGAATTGAGGTATAGTAGAAGTGATGATTTTTGTTAAAGAGGGTCAATTGCCTTTGAATTCAAGTGATTAAGTGAAGGCACGACTTTCAAGGACAAGATTAGGAAGCTTGAGATAGTCCAAGAGTTAAAATTTTGAGAATAGATGCCATTTAGAGTTATGATTCTAAAAAGCTTAGATTTATTAAAGAGCAATCAAAGACTAAGCTGCAACACTCAATTTTGTAGAAGGAGATCTGCTGCCTTGCTAAATTTAAGCATCAACTTTGAGTTGTGATATTAGAATCACTTAGCCAAATTTGAATGCAAAATTTTGAGGGTAGATGCATCTTTAAGTCTTCTTTCTAATAAGACTAATTAAGATTCAATTCAAATCTTGCAATCACCTATACCTCATAGGAATTAAAGTATAGTGGATTTCAAATTTTAATTCCAACCTCAAAAAAACCCCACCCAAGGCTTAAGGAACCAGCAACAATAATGATAAGAGATACACCACCTTTAAAAATAAAACCATACATTTAATAATTGTTGAATAGGAAATATAATTGTATGTAGAAATTGTGGAAAAAATCATCCTATCGATGTATATAGACAATCTGATAAGATAGTTTTTTTAAAATTTTTATAAAGAAATTACTAATAAAAAACCAAAGATTATTTGAAGGAAACAGAACATCAAATTTGGATAATATCTTAAGACTTTTTAATTTATTTTATGGTTATAAAAATAATTATCAAATTCAATATCTACCTTCAAATTTAAATACATAGAAAGGATTTATTACATTAAATGTAAGCTAACTTCAATATGGCAAAAAAAAAAATGAAAGAAAAATTTCACAAGTTATAAGGTATTTGAAAATACCAACTAAAGAATAAGATTTTTAATTCATTCAAGACTAATCCTTGTCTTTTCACATACATTACATCTTCCACAAAGAAGTTCCTAGTAATGTTAAAAATCTTCTTAATATGCTAACATTGGTAGTTATAATAATATCTAAATATACTAG